ATCTAACAATTACATCAAAGCTACGAATAGTAAGATTGTTGAAATGCTATCATGAATAAAACTCATGGATGCCGTTAACACAAATTTTAATTTATGACATCCCAAGTAAGAGCAATACACGCCATCGATACGAACAATGATGCTTGCCATTACTAACAAGGTTATTGCTCATCAATATCAACTTAGGTATTTATTGTAACAAATAGCATTGATGATACCATTGGTACAGTGCTAACATAGATTATTGCCAACAGGACCAATGTTTGTCATTGACATCAACCAAAATATGCATAATCATCCATAAGGCAAATGCATGTTGTTGGCACTAATGGTAGGGCTTATTATCACTATCAACAACAATGTTGACCCAAGTTATCAATAATAATAATAATAATAATAATAATAATATTGCATGTTATTAACTCTAACATCAACCTTCTTTATCATAACCAAAATTAACCCTCACTGTCAACATTATATTAGCACCAAGGTGTATTATAATTCTCTTGTCTCTAGCCTCACCTCCTATATGGAGAGCTACCAAGTATCACCACCAATTTCTCTTGAAGACAACTTGAATACCATGACATTGCCCCCCATACATGCATCATGTAAGCAATCCTTTTTAGTTTGTCTATTTCGTTGTACAAACATCTTCATCATTTATAAAGAATGCGTCATTTATAACATATAAACTATAATAGTGAAATTATTTTAACCGATTCAAGGCTTTAGTTTTCCCCCTTTTCTCAATTTGTATCAAAAATAAAATCTCTGTCTCCTATAAATTGCTCTGATCAACTAATTATTTTTATGTTGGTGCAGGATATTCAAACAATATTAAGAAATTAAAATTATGTCCCCAATAAGTTGCTCATTCTACCATCATTAATGTACAAGCACACAACATGAACAAAAATTGATTTTGTGGTATTTTGTCGTATTAGTCTATCTTCTCCTTTTTGCTTCGTAAATTTTTTTCTAATTATAGTTAGACCATGCGATCCAATATTTCTTGATGAACGAGCCCTGGACAAAGTATGGCAACATTCTTTACAATCTAAATCTATACTGTTAGATTTTAGGAAAATTAAGACCAACAAAGAAGTGCTTGAGGATTATTGCCGGACATATTGAAAGTTCTTATCAAATTTGAAGAAGCTCAAACTGAATTGGAGTAATTTACTTCTAAACCCCCCAATTCATATGTTTTTACATATATATATATATATATATATAACACCTACATTTTAAATTTTACATTAATTTCACCTAATATCACAATAAATTATCATTATTTTAACAATTAAATAGAGTGACTCGTGTCAAAATTGTAAGTACATAGGAATGGAGTGGTATGAATGTAAATCTCCCCCCACCCCCCAAAAAAAAATAGAAAAGAAAAGAAGATAATTTGCATTGGATGCCTTGGGCGGGGTGAATGGTAATACCGTAGTATTGAGAGATTTTAATGCATTTTTTAATGATCTCATCAGGAAAATACGGGCGGGCAAAAAAAAAAAAAAAAAAAAAAAGGAGGTATGTGATCTGATTGTTTAGCACCACGGAATCATTAATTGGTTTGTTGCAAATTATGTCAATATTTGAATTTATGTAAATATTTTTAGATCTTGAATTCAAATCGACGACGCCAAGCATGCGGTTTTCAAGGAATCCTGCAATTTATTTATGATTCAAGTCCACGGTTGGTTTAACAAATCATTAATTTTAATCCTTAATAATTGCCATCTGTAAATTAAGGAAGTGGTTGCATGCATGATGACAGGCATGTGAATGCCAATCTATGATGAAATTAAGAAAAAGTTGGTTAGAAAATTCAATGAAATAAAGGAAGGGATGTGAGATTTTCCACTTGAAAAATCTAAATAAGAGGGATAGTTTATTATATAAGAAATAGTACGAGGGTGTGGTCTACTCCATGCTATGAGATGAGCATAAGCATAGGATGCTTCTTAGGTAATTAGGAAAGGGGTTGCAATGGGCACCTAGTTTGGTCCACCATGTGTTGGTGGTAAGTACACATAGGCATGTAATATGGTGGACACTACTCTCAAATACTGTGGAAAAAATATATATACATGTAGCATTAACATAACTTTCATTACTTGTTGTGGCCTTAAGCCTCTTTGAGTTTTATGGGCTATTTCATGATGCATGTTTGATATTGTCATCAGAGTGGTTTAGTGATCGTAGATTGTAAGGTGTGCAACTTTTAATATTTATGTGATGACTAAGTGAGTCGACTACTGTCATCGTGTGAGTTGCATTTGATGCTATAATGCGACTGTGGGTGAAAGATGTAATATAAAATTTCATCCATTCGTTAAATGATGACAGTTGCCATATTTATTGCCAACATGTATGATATGTAGGATGTTGCTATTATGATTGTATGATGGTGTGTAATATATTAAAAAAAAAAGTAGGGTATGTGTACATATCAACATATACTTGTGACATAAGTTTGTAAGTATAACAGGCAAAGGTAAAACTTATGAGTCGCATCATACGTAGAGGTGGCAACAACACAAAACTTATGGGTGAGTGATATGTTGAATTTTTTGCTTAAGAGGCTTTAGAGTATCAATTAGACTTAGTATTGGGCGGGTGGCCTGACGAGCTCGCCATAAACCTGCTGGTCATGGGCAGGTTTGGCTGTAAAAATTAGAAATTTGGCGGGCTCGACACTACCCAACCCGACCTATTGAGTGGGCGGGGTAGACTATGAATTTTTAGATAGAAATCGGGCTCAAGTTGATTAAGTGGTTTATCATAGTAGTCTTATGTTGGTGGCTTCTAGTCCAAATATATAAAATTTTAGACTTGGATGTCATGAGCATATGCATAAAGAGTGCTCTTGAGCATCAAACCAAATAATAATCAATCATGGAAGCTTGAATCAAATGAAATTTCTAAATCTCCAGATCTGATATAAGTACAGAAGATCCATATTCTTTCCAAAAAAAGTCTGAAAGTATAATTTAATTAGTTTTCCTTCATAGGATCCATACCATCCAATCCCTAGATTCCAAGCTAGCAAGAAAATTGACCAATCTGATTTAGAAAACCATGAAAGAAGGGTGGCAATGCAGACCCATGTGGAAGCAATGCAGGCCCATGTGGAAGCATGCACCCATATCTGAGTAAGATCCCAAGGCCAAGATTGATTAGCCTAAACCCGGTAGCGGTTGGAGGGATTACTATTACAGCAGGAGCAAATCTTCATAAACAATTAGGGTTTCGATCAGATTATAATAAAAAAATAGTAATAGTAGTTGGGAAATGGAAACAAAGGTGGTTTTGGTGAGTTAAACAAGAACATCGATCATGTTACTTGAACTTCCATCAATCAACCAGCAGCTAATTTCTCGCCATAAAAAAATATATATGTCGTCGTTGACCCTCCTCACTGCTATCCGTATGAACAGTTGAATCTATAAATCTAGAAAATTAAAAAATTAAAAAAAATCAAGATAAGAACTGTCAAAAAAATTTTATATATGTTAATTTTCTACTACTGCTAATACGTAACTTCTACTACAAATATTTATATTCTGCTTTATCTTTTCATGATACATAAATGGCATCAGAATTTCTTATTATAATTGTTTTTGATCATTCCTCATGTCCCCATCCTCACGTGCATTTGTCTACAGAAGAATCTCTCACTTTGAACCCAACTAGAGAGAGAGAGAGAGAGAGAGAGAGAGATCAGTTTCTATTTATCAAAATTTACTGTCAATTCACAGTTAAGAATTGATGAAGTAAGAGAATGAAGATTATGTTGTTTAATTTAACAGTTCTCAATGGATTAAATTGATCAGAGAATTTACCTGACAAGCATCTGCCAATTTTATTGCACCACATCTCTATACTTAACAATTTTTTTTCTTAATCTTCAACAGCAGATCAAAAGAGAAAGATATGAAAACGAAAATTCAGAAATCTGACAACAAAAAAAAAACCTGATTTTTACTCGGGGAATTGAAATCAATAAACCTCAATATCTATAGCAGAAGCAAATTAGCCAATTGGCTTAGATTAGACGAATTCTCTTCTTTGGAGGACCGGTAATCGGAAGCTTGATGAAAACAGAAGTCAAATCTCGCCTTACGGCGTAGAATTTGTTCTGCGAGAGCTCTGCTAATGGCTTCCTGCGAACCGGTTGGAGCTTCCTTGGCGCCGGCGGGCACAGAGTTGCCCTTTTTAGAGTATAATTCTCTGATTTGGGAGTCTCCATCTCCTTCTCTGGCTCTCTGTTCTCTACCGCTATTATCGCGGCTTCCTTGATTAGCTCTTCAGTGGTGGACTTAAAGTTGGCCGTGGCCTCCGCCGCCACCATCGCCATGGCTTCGGATGCCATGGTGGATCGAAGGGAAATGGAACAGAGAATGGAAACCGAACGATATAAGGTGGGGTGAAGTGGTGGGGCTTTTTAATTATCGAAGGGAACACGTGGAAGAGGTGGCGTTGATGATGAGGTATGTAAGGAGAGTACTGCAAAAGGGAAGAACAAAATTGTCAGCAGATAAAATAAATAGGATAATTTTATATTTTTTAATCATAATTTAATTATTTATAAATTTATTTATTTTTTTCTTTTCCTAAAGAATTACTTAAATGTTCGTTTATTTAAAATAATTAAAAAAATTTAGATAAAATTTTAATAATTTAACATATAAATCAGCAAATTTGAATATTGACTTATTTTGTTCATTTGAATTGATGAACTTACCCTTTTGTTTTCAATTAAAAGATTGATACAATATTCATTTAATGATGGCAAGTTACTTATTTGGCAATATATCTCATATTTTTATATAAATTTTTTCATTTCATATTTTTTCTAATTTAAAAGTAATTAATATTATTTAATATATATAAGTATATTATACATATCAAATAAGAAGTTATTATGAATTATGTCTATAAAATTAAAATTAAAAATATCTATAAAAAGTAGAAAACTAATCTGCGTGGTATGTAATAATTTGTCCACTTTGTGGGCCTGAAAGACCTTCTCACCGATCTCTATTCTTAGTATCCTTCGCTGCTCATGTGCTCTCTGTTTACTCTCTGAATTATGATTTCAAATGATTTCTATTTTAATATTCAGAAAAAAAAGTTAATAAACACAAATTAATTTACCAAAAATTCATAATATCCCGCCCATTCCGTCTCCCTCTAAATAAGTACTATTATACCTAATCCTTCATTATAATTTTGTTCTTCTTCTTCTTTCCCTCATCATCACTACCACATCCTCGTCTTCTCTCCTCCTTTAATTTAAAATTCATCCAATTTCGCTCCTTTTTCCCTCCTCCTCCTCCCTCCGTTCCCCTATCCTTCACTCCACCATGGCCTCTAAACCCAAAGCTTCAGCGATGGCGGTGACGGAAACAGAGGAGCTCCCACCTCTCCAACCAGTACTAATGAAGGCGGCAGACGAATCAGAAGATAAAGAGAATGAAATGGTGACTCCAAAGTCGGAGAATTGCATCCTAAAGCAGCCGACCGTCTGCCCGCCGGCTCCCCGGAAACGGGAGCCGGCCCGCCGGAAACGGGAGCCGGCTCGCCGGAAGCCATTAGCGGAGCTCAGTCCCAACAGATTCTACACCGTGCCGCAAGATTTGTCGTCGGCTTTCATGAAGCGATCCAATAGCTCTCCTCCAAAGAAGAGAATTCGGCTTCTCTGAGCCCCATCCGGCCTCGTTTCGGCTCTATTTTGAGGTTTTACTGTTTTTCATCGTTTCAAGATCTCGTTTTTATTGTTTCTTCTTCTCTCGATCCATCTGGTGCTAAGAGAAATCAGTGAAATGAGAAGTATATAGCTGTGATGTAATAATTTTGGTTTCATGTCCTGTGAATTAATTCTCTCTTTCCACTTGCCCTAATGAAAGCATTTTAGTTCTTATTTACTTCTTCTATTTGAGAAAAAGCAAAAGCAATTTCGCCCTCTCCCTCTCTAACTGTTCTCAAATCTGAGAGAGAGAGAGAGAGAGAGAGAGAGAGAGAGAGAGAGAGAGAGACTCTCCTGTAGAGAGGGAGATTCTCCTGTAGACAAATGCACATGAGCAAATGGAAGCGGCCTTGATGGATGGACAACGGACGAACCAGATGAGCTCATCTAAATCACAGCACACTATTAGTTCCCATTTCACAGCTAATAATACAAATTTTTTTAATATAATTCGAGCAAAACCCTAATTTTTAAAGGGAAAGTGCATCCGTTGTAATAAAAGCACCTCGAGCTGGGAATGGGATTCTGCTGATCAATCCTGTCCGTCGGATGGGAGGGAGTGGATCATGCTTCTAAGAGAAGCCTAGGGATCCATCTAATGTACTAAATTAAGTCCATAAACATTTTAAATAAAATAATTGGATGTATTTGGTTTCCTAATCCTCCGGATTAGTGTCTTTAACCGAGGTGGATGTCTTCGCATTCAACTTTTTATTATGCGGATCGTCTTCCAAACTTACAAAAATTAGAGATTTTTTTAATGGCGGGGGGGAGTAAATGACTTA